CTGCTTGTCTACGTGTCCGTCGCAGGGCAGTGCAGCAGCTCCACGCCCCAGCACGGCCCATGAGTCCTGCGGCGTGCCGTACCCAAATTCCTTAGCTGTGGACTGTGCCACCGCAGTCAGCTTGTGACCTCCTTTTGAATTAGATTTGGGTTTTGATTTAATTTAGATTTTTTGTGCGACAAAACCCCTTTTCCAGAAAACCACAGCATGGCGTTATTCTGCTCTTGTCCTTTAATTTGCTGCTTTTTGGAGCCTTTACCAGCCTTTCCCTTACTTTCCTGGAATCCGTGTCAAGCTAACCAGCTAGTGTAGCCCGTTAATAAATGAGTGGTTTATTCTCACTGGCATCTCAGCTTGTTTCAGGGCCCCTGGAACCTCTCCAGCATTCACAATGTGTTAAGTAGTGACCTCAGTGACTCAGACTTCCTGAGGCAGGTCCTCAAAAACTCCCTTGGACGGACCCGCTCAGTCCTGTGGGTCCACGGATAAATGTGATCGAGCACGTGCAACTTAAGCGCCCTGCTTAGAAGTCGCACAGTTACCCCTGTGCTGTGAGTTTGCCTGTCTCCTTTCTCCTTCTGTGTGCACCCTCTGTGCAGAGGGGTCAGAACAGGCAGTGAGTGTGGCTACGGATTTACACCCCGACGTGTCTCTAGGGTCACAAGGGCGTGTGCTGGTGTGACCTGCTGGCTGACCATGGGTCGGAGTGGTTTCTTTTTCACCTCCTGGTTATGTAACGAGGTTTACTCTGCTCACAATTCACAGGCAGCAACGGGCCCCAGAAATTCTGCATCGATAAAGTTGGCAAAGAGACGTGGCTGCCTCGGAGCCATACATGGTAAGTCTTTTCTCCTTGACCCTGTTATGAGCACATGGGGACAACTGTGAGCAGGGGCTGCATGGGGCCTGGGCCCCCCCTGTCCCTTCCATCCCCTTGCCTGCATTCCCATGGGATGTAGCTGTTGTTCCTGGCCATGCGTCTTCCTGCAGCGGCCTGGGGGGGAGAATCAGGGTCAGGGTGCTGCTCACAGCCTCCTTTGTCTCTCCAGCTTTAACCGCCTGGATCTCCCTCCCTACAAGAGCTACGAACAGCTGAAGGAGAAGCTGCTTTACGCGATCGAGGAGACGGAAGGCTTTGGACAGGAGTGACGGAGCTTTGGTGCTTTCCTGGGGCAGGGGGGGCCCTGGGGTGCTGGCGGTGCCCACGGTGCTCAGGGCCGAGCCCTCTCTGCAGGATGGTGCGCGGGCCGCC